AATCATAATAATAATAATAATAATAATAATAATAATAATAATAAAAAAAGAAAATAGAAAACACTATTTAGTATTAATGCACATTATAAAATAAGAACAAATTAATATTTGTAGAATCCTTGTGTGTTGATCATGTAACCTAAAGAAACCTAAAAAACGGATGTAAATGTGACCTAAATATGTTTGTTTTGCAAATTTACGACTGGTTGTATTGCGAATTGTGTTCTGATTTATGTAGAATATATTTCAGGCCGTTTTGCTAAACATAATCTGCATATACTGCACAATTCCTGTATGATCAGCAGTTTGTCAAGGAACTTCGGGAAGCAGCGATGCTTCCTTCGTCGACGAGGAAAGACAAGAAATCCCTGTAGGACGGTTTGCGGCACTCTCTCACCATTTCCTCGATTTCCCCTCTGTGAAGGGCCGAGGGTTGAGGTGTAAATGACATTTGCTGCAGGAGCCGTAGGCAATCTTTGGAGACGACTCAGTCAGATTCCTCATCTGTGACTCAACGGAGGCTGGAAGATGTGAATCACAAGTGGACAGCATTCTCACCCTCACTTTCTCCCTTCTTCTCTCCTCTAATAATACAGCTTCTCACAGGCTGAGCATAAAAAGGATTCCCACAATGCAAGACAAATCCATTTACAACATTATTGAGGCCAAGCGAGAACACAGCCTGACAATTAAGCTCAAATGATGAGACTCATACTTCCCACAACAAATACAATTATTCTTTGCCTTCATGGAAATAAAAGAATGATCAAACTTTTGGATGAATTACAACCAGATGTCAGGGAATTACACTGAGCTGTTGTGAATGAGATGTTGTAGGCGGGTTCAGATAATGTCACATGACATCAAATCCTTTCCTAGCATTTTTAGAATAATTAATAATGAACCTCTTGATGGAATTTCAATATAAGAAAAGCAAAGTGATCTTTTATCTACTGTAAGAGCAGACATGACAATACTAAAATCTTTAATTCTGATGTAAATCACTACAAAAATAAAATAAAATAAGTACTTGTGTAAAGATCATGTGACCTGAAGTCATTAACACTGATCTCAACTAGAATGCCTCTTATGACTTGGATGAAGTGTGTTTATATAACAGATGATTTTCAATGACAATTAACAAGGAGCTAATCTAAGAAGTTTAATTACATAGAGGAGACTAACTACCAGTGTTCAAAATACTTTGAAACAAATGGCTAAGGGCACAAATATACTTTATGCAAGTGCATGAACAAACTGTAGATGTGAATGCTTGGTCAATGCATTGCAATACATTACTTTATGAGTGTTAATTTAACCCAGTCTCATGTGGACTGATAATAGTTGGGACAACATTAAATTTAAGGAATGTAAATGAATGAATGAATGAATGAATGAATGAATGAACAGCCTACAAACAAAACTAGATAAATACAACAAAATGAGGAAGAAAAAACCTCGCATTCTATCTTATTTCTCTGAAACTGAATAATAAATATAAATGCCTTTAAAGTGTGTAAAAACACAACAAGACCAATACAATGAAAAAAGAAAATTTGTCTTTCGCTGAATTTTCTTGAGTACATAAGTGATACATTCAGCAGGTGTTATTGGATGTTTTCACAATTGGGAAAGTAAAACCGCCTAAAATGCAAGTTCATTCTCACTATCTCACCAAAATCACATTGCAAACATTTAAAGGATGAATCTGAACCACATTTTCTCATGTCGACGCTTTTGCAGATTAAATTTACTCACGTGAAGTTGGAGAGTTTCTGTCCATTGTCCAATAACTTTATATCCGGGAGTGTTGTTGATATTCATCTGGTACTGGAAAAGATCGTACCGTCCGGGTGCGTCGCCATTCCGATTGAACGTGACGGACGTCCCCGCGCTCCCTACGAAAGAAAGAATCAGACTTAGAAACCTTCCTTCAAAATTGTCAGATGAAAATACTGTGTATCAATCATACATAAAGACAAAAAGCCCTGACATGCCTCGCAGACAACAAGAACCCATTGTTTGCATTTCCACTCCATACCGAGACGAAAGATAGTTTGGTTGTGACAGAAATACAAACAACATATGCCTCTCAGGCCAACAGCGGAGACTGAAAAGACCTGACAGTCATCGCCAACTGATTGTTTGAAGAGCTTTACCTGCAGGGCTTGGCACTCACGATCACAAGTCTGCCAAAACACAATCAACAGAAGCATCAGCCGTTCGCTGTGGGCTGCTGACACGTCCTCATCACACTTATTATACTGGGAAGCATGGGCTGTGTAAGGTAGCTATCAGTAGCACTGTTTTGATATAAGAAACATTTCCTTAAAAGGTAAGATCGCTTTAGTGAAGCCTGTTTTATTGTCAAAAATGATCACTCTTACTATTTTTGAGCTCTCAGCCATGGAAAAACCTAATCGAAAAGTGAAAAAAAAAAAAAAAAAAGATTTACAGATGCACAAGGATTCTCTCAAAATATTATTTTTATGCATGGATCCATAAAAATTGATAATTGATCAGTTCAATTATGAGATATTCTGCATACAAAGCACACACTCGACAAATCATACAAATTAAGTGACAGACAGAGTGAAAATTGATATTCATCAATAACTGTTTTGTAATCATGGCACTCGTATGTGATCGGAATGACAGCAGTGCATTTAGACATATTATTTTAGATTTTATTTTCATATTTAACTTTATTTATTTATATATTGAAACTGGAAACTTGTAAATTAAGTAATGATACAATTCACAGATACTGTATGAAACATATATATATATATATATATGTATATATATATATATATACACACACATTTTAGGTGCTTAAATATTGCTATTACATTACTATTACAATATTACTACAATATTATATTATATTATTATAATTACAATATTACTATTACTTAATAAAACAACTAAGCATAAAAATAAACTATACATGAAAGTTAAATGTGAAAAAAGTGTAAAAAATGCAGATTTTTTATTAGAATAATACATAATATAAATTATACATTTAAGGTATGAGAATGAATTAATAAATGAATGAATGACAGCCTAAATGAAACAAAATATGAAAAAAATAATATTTGTGTAAAGATTTCTTCTCTTCAAAATAAATAAATAAAATACAATAAAAATAAATTAAATAATAATAATGCCATTTCATTCATTCATTCATTCATCCATTCGTGTTTATTTAAAAAAAATGATGATTTATTAATTGATGAATATAATTATGTTTATATGGCTGGTTGATATTTATTCACATGACAAATATTAATATTTTAACAAAACAAATAAATAATTATAACAATTATTAATTACATAATTAATTAATAATTAAATAATACAAGTATAATAATAATAATAATAATAATTTATTGTGCCAAAATGTTTAGTTTTTAGAATTTAATACTTTTAATTATTATTTTCATCATAATAGATCAGTTAAACCACCCTGACACTTAATAAAATAAAATAATTTTAACACAAAAACGATTAGTGTTTGTGTATTCAAGTTTAAATTTACAGATCTGAACATAAAACTGAACATCAGTGACTCATAAAATCCTCCAACTTATTTATACAACCAAAATACTGGATTGTTCGTCATCCAATGTAATCCAAATCCAAGTAATCTCTTTTAAAACTACCTCAGGCATGAAGACGGAGAGGAAAAAGTGGCAGTGGAAGTAATTAAGGTAAGATTCAGCAAAAATTCAAAAGATTGTTGCATTGAGCAACATGGGTGGATAAAAACCCGCTTGAGTGTATTTTAGTTCCTTCATTATTCAGTCACTTTGGCGTCACCCGCTGCCTTTTCAGGTTTATTTTGTTTGTCCGGTTTTGTTAAGAGGACATCATGGGAAGAAGGAAGAAATGTCCTCTTCTTCTAATAGACTTTGGGGAGAATGAAGACACCGAAAAGTACAGGAGACCCGCAGAGATAAAGAACAATTACACGCTAGCAACACTTAAAGAGTGGATAAGGGCCTGGAAAACCTGCTGAATACCACAAATAACAGCCTTCCAATTCACACTGAATTAACAAGAACCTTCCGCGAAGCCGCGCTGCTTCTGCCGATAACTTTACTTTTTTTTCTCCTCAAAATTCTTACTTTTTGCTCAGAATTCCAAATTTACATCTTGAAATTCTGACCTTTTTTCTCAGAATCCATAGTTAGCATCTCACAATTCTGACCTTTTTTTCTCAGAATTCCAAGTTTACATCTTGAAATTCTGACTTTATTCTCAGAATTCCAAGTTTACATCTTAAAATTCTGACTTTTTTTCTCAGAATTCCAAGTTTTCATCTCACAATTCTAACTTTTTCTCAGAATTTCAAGTTTTCATCTCACAATTCTAACTTCTTCTCAGAATTGCGAGTTAGCATCTCACAATTCAGACCTTTTTTTCTTCTTAGAATTCCAAGTTTACATCTTGCAATTCTGACTTTTTTCTCAGAATTCCATGTTTACATCTTGAAATTCTGATTTTTTTTCTCAGAATTGCGAGTTACCATCTCACAATTCTGACTTTTTTTTGAAATTCCAAGTTTACATCTCGGAATTCTGACCTTTTTTCTCTTCTTAGAATTCCGAGTTTACATCTTGAAATTCGGACTTTTTTCTCAGAATTGCGAGTTACCATCTCACAATTCTGACTTTTTCTTGAAATTCCAAATTTACATCTCGGAATTCTGACCTTTTTTCTCTTCTTAGAATTCCGAGTTTACATCTTGAAATTCTAACTTTTTTCTCAGCATTCTGAGTTCACATCTCACAATTGTAGTTTGTTTATTTTTTTTTTTCTCTCAGAATTCCAAGTTTATAACTCTAAATTCTGAGTTTATGTCTGACAATATTTTTATATACAGATATACATTTTCGATATAAATTTAGAATTGCAAGAAAAAAGTCAGAATTGTGAGATAAAAAGTCACAGTTACCTATTTATTTATTTATATATTTACTCCTTCCTTCCTTCCGTGGTGGAAATGGGCTTTCATATTTTTCACCTCATACAAGTCTTTAAAAACCCAGTAGCAAAATGTCCCAGTTACGTCACATCACAGCAGTGAATTCACCCGCTAAACTTCTATGCTACTCAGAGACTTCCAATCTCAATATTATACAGTAATTGCACTGTAGATATTAGATATGGATGGAACCTTCTTAAGTATATTAATTATTAGTATGCATGGAGCCTTTGAATCTTTTTTTATGTTCGCGCTGGAGGAAACCCTTTGAAAAAACGGCAGAAACGTCAGTCGCCCAACTTCAAGCAGTATGTTCTGTCTTTTTATTTATTTATTTATTTATTTTATTCTCATCTTTCCCTGTGTCTGTGACACATTCTTTCATCACAAGAGATAACATGCATAAATAACCAGCAGACGAAAAACAGGACTGCACCATTTAATTAATAAGAGCAGTACTAGATAAACAGGTTAGTTGTATGACATGCACTTTTAGAAATATCTACTTTAATGTAATGTAATCTAATTTATTCACTGTGTCAGCCTGCTTAATTATAATTCCAAACTATTTAATGAGTTTCAATAATTTAATACTGTTAACACTATTTTCTTCACTATGATAGATCTATTGTATGAATTTTATATGCCAGACTGCTTAAACTGGCTATATTAATAACACACATTGTTTGAATTAGATCAGTATTTCTATTTTTCACTCAGAAAACTAGAACATTGTTTATGCTTCATACAATAACATCCATCGATGAATTCAATATTCCATGAACCAAAAGAAGATTCATCAATTTATATGTCTTAAAATGTAATTATGCAAAACATGCATACATAAATGTTCCAACTGTCAAGTCAACAGTTGAAAATTGCATTTCAAAATAAAGTATGTCATGCGTGCACTTACATTCTGAATATGTATATGTATTATATATGCATGCCAGAGGGGAGGTTTTCTTATTGTGCATGCAATGCTCATAAATTATAAGTATTAGCTTATAAGTATCAGTAAACTATTAGTGTGCTACAGTAAACAATATCAGATGGGAAGCAAAAGTCAAAATGTTTTTTTTTATTTAATACAAAATGTTTAATTATAAATGGCATTATCAAGATGGAATTTTGAGTGAAAAAAAAAATATATATATATATATATATATATTGCATTAAATGCACAAAGTGAAGTGGAATGATACATGTTTATTTAATATTGTTTACGCTAAATAACATGCATCTACAGTACTGCATATATTATATATCAATACATATGTATTAACTAATACATAATATATGTATATATATATATATATATATAATTTATACATTAGATATAAAATCATGATAAAACACAAATAATAGCTTGTTTTTCTTCATTACAGTCTTAAAGCACAGCAAATCACATCGTTTTTATCGTTTCTTGTTATTGACTAGCTTTGATGTATTTCCATAGGCTGGCATGTGATATTCAAACGTGGCTGTTTACTTTATAAGAACACTACAGAAAACAATTTAGTGACAGCTGAAGCGATATTATTTCAAGATGTTTTCTTGTTCTTTTGTGTTTTTATGGAATAGAATAAAAGGGGATGCTCATCATAAAAGACTTTTCAGCGATGGTAAACATTTGATCAAAAGCTTGTTATCATCAGAATAATAAGTTGTTGTTTAGCATTTTTGTGCAGAGTGATTTGTTAATATTAGGTATTTCACAAAAATGTAAACGTATCTTTATGAAACGTATCTTTGTTTTTTTTAAACAAACTTCAAAGTTGCACAAAATATAAATGAAATTGATTGCTTACAGTGCCTAGAATATTTAATTAATGCAATTTGTATATTAACACAAGTCAATTTTGTACTATTGTATGTTTCAGTGTTTTTCTTCAAAACTTAAAATAATAATAATAATAATAATAATAATTTACTTTGTTTGGTGGCATAAAATTCTTTCAGATTTCTTCATGAGAATTTTGCCAGCAGTCTTTGTATTCTAGTAATTAAAAGCAAGTATTTTGTTGAGTCTGTTTGGAGTATCGTTCACCAGGCCTTTAGTTAGAACACGTATTTACCTCAAATACTATTTTCTCATCATGACACAGACATCAAAGGTGCAGTTGCACTTTGATCTAACTGTGCTCTGGTGCATGACTACAAAAGTTTCACTTCATTAAGATGCATTAATGAGAGATTTCCTTTCTTCTTGGAAGTTTCCTCTTTCAGTGGTCCAACACAAAGGCAGGTTTGGGATATGTGAGATATAAAGTATTCAGAAAGTTGGAGTCCCACGCAAGACGCAGCAACAAAGGTTGCTTCGAAGAGAAATGTATGGTGTGTGTCCACTGGCACAGAAGAAACCTGTTCAGTATTGTCCAAACCAGTCTGTAAAGTCTGTCAAAGTACACTGTAAAAAATAGTTTTTTCAAGTTGTAAATAATATATATATATATATATATATATATATATATAGGCTGTATATGAGATAAAATACTATTTCAGTTTTTCTACTTCAAAATTTCATGTTTACTTTAACGTGTTACTTGCCATTTCTGTTACTTGCAATTTACTAGCAGTTTTGAGGGAAAATTATTTTACCACCGTTTTTTTTTTCAGTGTAGTTACAAAATGCTAATTCCCAAAGTATATATAAAAGAGACAGAGAGAAAAAACAATTAAAATCTAATTTAAAACATGTCAAGATCTTAGAAATGTGATTTTTATGTATTCATTATGGTTTCCATTGGTTTTGATAAATAAACCATGATTAAACATTTCCATTGCTTTAAATAAAATGAACATTAAATACAATTCAAATAAAATAAAATATAAAATATATTTTTTAACTTAAACTGATTTAAAAATTAATAAAAACTATATAGACAAAAACATTTAAAAAATAGTAAAAATAAATTAATAAAAATGGCAAAAGTAATTAAATTACTAAAACTATAATTACAATGAAAATGTAAAAAAATTTAAACTAATTCAAGATATTACTAAAAAGCTATAATAGTATATAAACAATAAATGAGTCTAAAATGTCATGTGGTGTAACCATAAAGTATTTTTTCATTACACTTTGAAAGCATGTGAGTTTACTTAATCATTATTTTTATAAATATTTTTAAATATATTTTCAAAGTAATAAGTAATAGATAAATAACATATATCATTACATTTTAGGGAGTTGCACCACATGGCATTTTATGACTTTAACTAACCTTACCTTGTCATAAAAAGGTAAATTATTAATATTTTAACATGAGGGTCTAGAAATGTCCTCTCCATGATATCACGTTTTTCATGTTGTTTGGGTTTTTTTCCCCCCTGGTTGCACCACATGACATTTTGCAGATTTTTTTTTTATAATGTTTAATTAAATATTACAGTTTTTTTATTTCTAAGAAAAAATAAATAAACAGATAATAATAATAAAATACTTTAATATTTTTCTTTTTACTTTCATGGCCAAAAACATAAAAATTAATTTTAATTCACAAATTAAAAACATGCTAAAAAGTAGTAGTGTTATCATAGAAGACATGCATTCAAGCCATTGTATCTATGAATTGCATTTTTTATGTATTTTTCAATTAAGTAATTGTGACACTGTATTTTAACATTACATAGTTATACATTACATGCACTTACTATAGTATTACCAGTAAATGATGCATAATTACAAGCATCTAATCCTAAAACAAACCCAAATCCTAACCTAATAGTACGTGCATGTAGTTAATTACTATTACTGAGTAATTACCGTGCAATTACACTGTAATAACATCACCTTAAAATAAAATATAACCAAATTAATATCAGTAAGATATCTTTGACTCATTGTGGCATTTATCTGATGTCGTGAGCTTTGGTGGACTCACCGTTGAAGCTGACCGATCGGATGTACTTGAGAAGCTTCTTGCCACCAGCGTGCTCCATCTCTCCACAAACGCCCGACTGGTCAGGACAAAGGTCCTTCTGCATGTTGTGCAGGGCATGAGCCATAGCGTACACCGCGTCTATCACAAACTGCACCTTCCCTTCCTGCTCGTATTTGGAGTCTGTTCCTATTCGCTCTTGCCCTGGAAGGAAGAAACAAAACAAAAAGGCAAAGTAGAGGAAAGACTTTGAAGCGAAACGTGTGCCTAAATGCTCTCATAGGAGAACATAAACACAAAGAAATGGAGTCAGCTCTGGAAGCTTTTGAAGAAATATGTGAGGAAGAGCAACAAAACAAACATTTGAAGCTAGCACACACTTTAGAAACAATCTTTCATTTGACAAATCTTGGCATGTTTTGGCCGCTATCTTTAACGCTGTGAAGAGTAATGCCTGAAATTCTAGGTGCTTACCTTACTTTGGTCTCTGATGTTGTCTCAGTTTTGCTATCTTCAACTTAGCGGTTTAAAGAGATTTATTTGCAGTTATTGCTCACAGGCAGTGTTGGGGAGTAAAAATAAATAAATAAATATTTTAAAAGGTCACACTGTAGCGATTTAAGCTACTTTTGTGAGCAGCTTGTAGTATAGCTAACTACTTTTTTTGCAATTAGCTTGTAGCATGAAAGCTACAGTTTTATAGTTTAAGTCTTTAAGTGTTGAAATTTTCTACCGAAACAGGAAGGAATTACTTGTTTTCTTTTTCTAAAATAGATATAAGGCTGTTTGCAGTTTGATAACTGCTAGTCAGTTGCAGGGACATTCACATTTGCATTTGATTGGACAAAAAATTGTCTACCACAGGATGAGTTATCAATATTTCTGCTTTGTTTTCCCCAAAAAACTCATTTTTAAAAGCACACATCTTCTAAAAGTGAATTTTGTCAATGTTTAGGAGTAGATTAGCACACAGATTAGCTTCAGCGCTGACAGACGTAGATTAATAGAGTCATTGTTGTGACAAATTTGTAGGAAATTTTTAGAGACAAGGTTATTCATTTGGTATCGATGGGAAATTTATTCCACACACATAAAATCAAGCTTCTCAGGGTCTGACCGAGGGCTAAGCATACCTTTACTTAAAAATGCCTTAATAACGACAGTGGTCAGACATTAGGCTCACCTTAAACTGTGAGGAAAAGCCGTGACAGTTCTATTAAGACCCACTATTCCCCAATCCACCGGTGGAGGATCTCATGGGACGCCAATGGAGTTCATGCAATATTCTTAGCAATTTTTCTCCAATTAGCTCTGCTGTCGTCCAGATCTGACACCCACCCTTAGATGTCAGTCCTGCTTCCTCAGGGACACTCTTATAGTCTGTCTTCCCACTACAACTGCTTTCATTAAACATACTACAGCTGGCTTAGTAGGCTTTTCTGTCCCATCAACCATGGCTAACTCAAATATGTGTATTTTTGAGACAGCTTAATCATAAATGGCCCTACTCCTATGAGGAAGGAATGGGTGACTCTAATAGTGCCTGACAGAACAGGAAAACTAGCTTGGGAAAATTTCAGCCCTTCCAAAAGTGCCATTAGATCTTTTCGGTGAGCCTGAAAAAATGACATCTAGGACTTGATTTCAATCTGTGATGAGTGGATCTCATTATTTAGATGATATTTATTTACTTGCAGGACGATTGATTGACATCTTGAAGACGTCCTTAGAGAAAAAGCCCCAACCTGTAGGACGTTACTTTTAATTTCTGCTGCCTTTGACTTTACATCTCAGAAATTGAGATGCTAATGGTTAACTAGACATCCTTGGTATAAATGGAAACCAAACCAAATATGGGATTCCATTATAAAAGACATTGCATGCCTGTTTCCTAAACCTTGTCAAGATGGATTTGCCAGTTAAAGAGGTTTTACACTTTCTCAACATCCCGATGGCATCAAATGAAAGGTTATGACAGTCATCTTGTCAGGGTCAGCCGAAAGCCTTGGGGGATTCAGATCAATAGACATCAATGACCCCAGACAGTGACAAAAACCCCATTCTGGCAGAGGTTCGGACACGCTGAAGGTCACAATAACCATTAGAAAATAATAAGCTGTTATTACGGTGACAGATATCTTGTTGGACAATACTTCACAATTACATCTATTGCCACTGACTGAAAACAGTACCCTGCTCAGAAGCTTTTTTTAGAAAATTGCCTGCCAATTGTTTGATTTTTTGTCATAAATCTCTGCTTCGTATCGACCAGAAGTGAATTGCGATACATTTTCCTCATCAGCGTGAGTATCACCAGCAGTTGTTTACCATTATAGCTAGGTATAAATTCAGATGGGAGTCCTCTGTCCATAATATTGCTTTCTCCACTGTCTGATCTGAATCAGGAGAGACATATACACAGATCAAGCACAGTTTACAAGGAAAAATTGACCAAAACAGTTCTAAACAAATATGTGGATGGATTTTGATGTGAGAGGACAAGAGGGGACAGACTTTTTCACTGGAGAAAGCGTTATTATGGATTATGGACGCAAATTTTGTCCAGAAGCGATGGTTTGTTTCTTACAAACATGCAGTTTTTCACTTCACAAGTCATTAACTGCTGGACTGGAGTGGTGTGGATTACTTGTGGATTATTGTGGTGTTTTTTATCAGCTGTTTGGACTCTCATTCTGACGGCATCCATTCATTGCAGAGGATCCATTGGTGAGCAAGTTAAGTAATGCTAAGTTTCTCCAAATGGCCTGAAGATTAGTCAATGTTAATTTTAGGGTGATCTATTCCTTTAAATCAAATTATTTTTAAACATACTTGACTCCACAAAAACCATATTCAAGACTACTTTAAGCAAACTGGAAACAGCTTTTACATCAACAAATATGACCTTGGATCTTCAACAAATGCTCAAATTTTAAAACGTCCTGAATCACTGAAAATATGGACTTTTTGACTGCAAAAATGGTCTGTTTTAATCCATTTGATTCTCTTGTCTAAATGATAAAAACAAACTCTATTGTGGAACATAGATCTTGCCAGATGTTTAAGCTAATTGGAGTGTCAGTTTCCAACATGTGTGGGTTTCACCTAAACTGTATCAGTCATATGCTATTTGAAATGCAAATTCATTATCTTTTTTTTTTTTTGCTAAAAACAGGCCAGGTGTTAATACCGGATAAAACAGACCTGATGTACACAGCAAAGTACCTAAGTTCTAAGCTATCACGAACATGTAAATGTCGACATTTCTTGTCATGTCATTTCATAATTCCACTGCATTTAACATTAATAATTTGCTTTTTTTTAAATTCTGTATCTAAAAGTTTTGATGTGAAGACTAGCATATGCATATCAATCAATCAATCAATCAATCAAAACGTTATTAAGGACACACACAGTCCAAAAACACAAACAAATAAGCAGACAAATAATAAAGACATACAGAATCCACAATATCACATATTTACATACAGGCTAAAACACCAATGGTTCCACATAATGACTATACTTAGTGCCGGGTTCGTCAGCGTTGAAATTATACTGTTTGCAGAGTCTGATAACCTACACATACACCTGTAGATGATATTACGCAGCACAGCAGAGCAGGTTGGCACGCCAACACTGACAAACATTTGGCTTGCACTGCTCCATCGTGGCACCTCAAGCAGCAGCCTCATTTTAAAATGTAGAGCTGAATGCACAGCCATTCAAACTACATTCCATTTGAAAATGTACGTGAACACATAGTCGATCGACACATGCATACTAAAGCTTCATCCTTGTCCAATATCTACGCTATTTCTATCCAGAAGTTATGACCGATTAAAAAATATATATATTTTCAACTAGAGTTGCGAGTATCTTTTAACTCCACTTATCAACGTGGGCATTTGTTGTTGTTGCGTTTATAGGATCTTCTTCTAGCTCCATCTCCTCATTTTCTATTTTGACTGAAACAATGGCCCGGCCCAGTGTTGCCACCTTGTGGACCAACTAATTAGTGCAAAAAAAAATGAGGGTACAGAGTATGTGTGGTTAGAAGTATCTGGCTGTGTGCGTAAAGCATGCTAAGCAATGATGAAATTTATGAAAAATGGATTACATTTACATCATCCACTCTGTACGAATAGCCTAGCGTTCATGTAAATTAACTATTAAATTTGTGCAATTAGGTTTTAATATAGTGTGTGAAGATTAAAATGGTTAATATTTTTAAAACCTATCTCAGGACCATCCTAGCTAACAAAACTGATTCTAAGTTCTTTTTTTTTTTTGCTTACATGAAAGTTAAAGGAATAGTTCACACACAAATTAAAATTTGCTGAAAATTTACTCACCCTCAGCCCATCCAAGATCATAGCCGCGGGAACATATTATATCTTGGGGGTGCTGGAGGGTGCTGGGGGGTGGGGCTTGATGTTGCAGGCCGGGGCCACGGTTAAACAGCCCAAACACTTATAGATGAACATACAAATTAAGACAGAGATAAATGAGAACGAATATATATTTGTGCTTTTGTGATTTAAGTTCAATAATATTTTTTTCTTTAATATTTTTTATTATTTGTAAGGGGATTTTTCAAGATATTAACCTCTAAATTATGCACCACGGTATAACCACTACATGGCTGTATAGTCCTATATATAAATACATACAAACGGCTTGCTGCAGAGTGAGAACTTAAGACATAAAGCACATTACTTGTACTAAGTTATTCATTTGGATATATTTTCAGACATTATTAAAGAATACATTTAATAAAAGTTTACATTTAAATGTTGATTTGAAGTGTCAGTTATTATTATTGCAGTTAAAACAGGACACAGAGAAAGCATTTTGTTACTCATACTAGCTACAGCGTGATCAGTCACACAAAAGTTATCAGAATAAATAGAACAGAGACGGTCTGTGGTCGAGTTATGTATCTTCCTCCTTTTTGAAAAAATCTGCATCGCAAGCAGCGACTGGCAAATTCAGATTCAAGTAGCTTTATTGGCATGGTTAAAAAGCTTTTTTGACAGCGCTTTGAACCAATGTTGTTGAGCATTATCAAATTTAGAGGCTACAATATGGTTGCGAATCAGGCAGTGATTGACAGCATTCTGATCCAATGGCCAAAAGCTCTCTGATCCAAAAATCACAAACCACATTCGACAACATATAAAAACAAAATCATCTTTAGAGTA